CTAATTTCCTAACAAAGGCCTTGTCGACTCGAGCGTTTAACGATGGTCTGAACAAGTTAGGAATGAGTGACATCTATGCACCAACTTGAGGGGGATTGTTGACAAAATCCTCTCGAAGTTGGTATCTTACCATATATAACTTTCTCTAATATTGTTACCTAAATTAGAAATATTATTTACCTTGTATAGAGATTTTGTACAGACTATATATATCTGTCATTATAAAGAAAATGATGCAAGAGATTGGGTTATTATTTATCTGGATTCATAAGTTTTTAACAATACGTTTCATCGACTTAAATCTACTAAGAAAAACCGTCTTTATCTAAATCAAACATGGGCTAAATCCACATGTCATATGCGATGGATCATGCATGCATAATATTGAGATTATATTTGATAGAAATATAAATCTCAATGTTACATTGGATCATTTGAACTTTGAAGTGTAACATTCAAAGGTATATTGAAATAACATTATTGATGTAATATTTTATATTGTTAATTATTTAATTGTTCTAAGAAAATTTTAATTGGCACATAAATTGTTAGCAGTATTAGTCTCCGATCTCCATTGAAGAGTACAACAATGATTATGTTGTTGCTTTCAATCTAAAAGTTCTAGAATAAATTCCCAACTTTAACAATTATATATCAATATTCCTTTCTACAGATATAGAGTCGGTAACTTGAATTAATTTTCCAAATTTCTCCATTACAGTAAATTTGTACAGAGTTCTACTGCTATCAATACCCCCTATTGCAAATTTTTTTTTTCACTTTTCTGAATGAAAAGACTCTTTAAACATATACAAGATATGGCTGACCATTTTTCAAAAAAATAAAAAATGGGCGACCCAATCGAAGTGCTTTTACTGTTTTACTATGTAAAGTCACTAATAATATCATAAATCGAATTCTCAACACAATTTTGGGTTCCTGGTCAACTCTTCTCAACTCATGGATGACCACATATAGTTGACTATTTTGAATCTGAATACGACTTTCTTCTCCGAACCACTTGATAACCATAGAATAACAAGAGGAAATTGTTGGAGATGACCGGATAATCCAGGCGTATTTTCAAAGTGACATTTGACCGTCTTTTTAATTAAAAAAAACGAAAATTGAATTTAAAGCTCAAAATTCCAAAATACCCCTCAGCTATTCTTTTTCCATTTGCTCAACAGTCGCACAAAGCTGAGGAAAATACACGGTCGATTCCCAGTCGGTCGAGAGAACTTTCGGTCAGAGAACTTGCCAATCCATCGTCAGTGAACTGCATCTTGTTAAAATAACCGTTATTATATTGAATATTTGTTTGGATTAATGTTTAGATTTTGATAAAATGTGTGAATGATTCATTTGTGGGAGATTTTTATATTTATTTTTATTTCCCCATTTTTGATAAATAATAATTTATTTAGTTGTCGAATTTAAATAAATTATTTATTTTTAATTTTCAATTTTATTAATAGTTTTGGATGATATTCTTTTCGTTCATCAAATTTAATTAATTTTTTAACTGTAATTTTAAATAATTGTTAGAAATTTAATTTGAAATTTAATATTTATTTTTATTATTAATTTTTGATAAATAATAATTTATTTAGTTGTCGAATTTAAATAAATTATTTATTTTTAATTTTCAATTTTATTAATAGTTTTGGATGATATTCTTTTCGTTCATCAAATTTAATTAATTTTTTAACTGTAATTTTAAATAATTGTTAGAAATTTAATTTGAAATTTAATATTTATTTTTATTATTAATTTTTGATAAATAATAATTTATTTAGTTGTCGAATTTAAATAAATTTTTTACTTTTAATTTTTAATTTTGTTAATAGTTTTGGATGATATTTTTTTTCATCAAATTTAATTAATTTTTTTAATTGTAATTTGAAATAATTGTCGGGGGTAAAGTCGCCAGTTTTTCGATGTTCGAGTTTGCTCTAATCACGGGATTAAAGATTACGGACGATGAAGCAGCTGGTGATGGGATTCAGAGAAGAAATAGGTTTCATAACGCTTACTTCGAGGGACAGGGAACTGTGCTTCTTACACAGTTGTTCGACGTAATTAGGAGGTGTGATCAGATGTTAGACAGATTGAAGTTAGGTCTGGTCTACATCCTTGAGAGCGTGATGCGGTGTCATCACAATAAGACTGAGATCGACCTCTTCCATCTGGAAATTGTTGATGACATCGATCGTTTCAATGACTATCCATGGGGTCGGAGATATTTTGAGGACACCGTACACGTCTTCACCAAATCACACTCGAAGCCAAAGGGAGCCATGCGTAAGTACGACACCTATGGATTGCCTCTGACGGTGCAGGTAAATGGTTAACATAATGAATGTTAAAAAAATTTCCCTATTGAATTTCTATATAATAATTGTATGTGTTGCAGATCTGGGCGTATGAGACTATCCCCCTATTGGCTGCCCGCTTTGTGAGACGAGGGGAGACACGCTATCCTCGGATGCACCATTGGATAGCATCTCGATCGGAGGGATGTCCCACTGGAACACAGTTATCAGCTATTCTCGACGACCCTCAGGTGAGTATTATGCATTTGTAATTTATATTGTGCGTAATTTAACATCTGATTACATGATCCTTAACTAGTTCAAATGTTAATATGTCCGCTTGAAGTCATAATTGAGTTGACGTCGTCAATGGAGGAGGAGGCTCAGGGTATTGTGCGTGAATTAGGCATTTCAGACACTCAAGAAGACCAGATGTTCGATTCGATCCACGATCGAGATTGGGTGAGCGAATTGAATAGATTACCGTTTTGTATGAGTTAGCAATTACGGATTAAGTTAATAATTTGTAATGTTGTTGCTTGTGTAGGAGCGCCCCTCCGCCGAGGGCATCACCACCTCCGCCGTCAAGGGCATCTCCTCCGCCTCCCCCGTCTAGAGACATTTCCCGTAGATCTCTCGCACAAAGTCAGGGGGACTATTTTGATGATCTGTATGCCCGTCTGAGCGGATTTATAGCTGAGTAGGTCGATGGGCTGTGTCGAAAGATGATAGAGAGGGTTGACTATCTGGGACGACAGTTGGTAGGAAGGGTCGAAGATTTAAAGAATGATGTTAGAGTGCTGCGTGGCCATTGTACAGACCTTGAGGATGAGATTGCAGCACTTCGAGGTGTTATAGTCGACATGCGTTGGGTTGACGGAGACGGTGATCGGGGGGTGAACGAGAGGGTGATAGTGATGGGGGACATCGACAGTCATACATGCATGATGATGATGGATGGGAATCATTTATTTTATCAATGGAGCGAGATGAGACGAGAGCGGTGACAGAGGAGAGGGGCCCGTCGGGGACGGAGGTGGTGGCTCCGTCAGGGACAGAGACGGTGGTAGATGAGGGGATGAAGGAGGTGGCAGTATATAAGGCAAAAAAGCGTGCTATTGACATGCTGAAGACGGTGGTCGGCAAGAGGCCGAGAGTGCCATCACAGTACGTCGTCTCTCCCTTCCCGACTGAGGCGAAGAGGAGGAGGTTTTTTGACGAGACGTACCCCAATCTGTTCCGAGAGGTCGACCATGCCGAGTGGAAAGCATTCGAGGCTGAGTGGCGAATAATATTGCCCGGATAAGTATTGTATGATTTAGTAGACTACCAGAACTCGTATATGCTTCGTTTAACGTTTTTTCTATTTTATTTCCAGAGTCACGCACATGATAGCCAGAAGGACGATATCTGACACATACAAGTAGTTCCATGATATCACCACTCAGGGGGCTTAGCTCGCCGACGATGTAAGTGAAGTGTTATTATTACTTTTTGTATACATTATGTTTAATTTGTTAAATGAAATAAGTATTTATTTCTTTGTTTTCTTTGATGTAGCACATCGACATGACCATGGACTTGTTACGCGATCGAGTTGAGAGATATCCACAATCATTCCACAAGCCTGGCCGAATAATACTAAACATCGAGTTCTTCCGTGCCATAACATTGAGTATCAATCGCTCAAGCTTCTAGGTAACGAGTACGTGCTTCCCGCGTATATGCTCAAGTGAGTCATCGGGCTGTCACCGAGTGTTGGGAAAAAGTCATGGGGGTTGTATACATTTGTACATTTCAGTGATCGTGAATCAACACTACATTGCACTGGAGATCGTGTTCCCTAATTCGACGATATATGTGTACGACCACGATCATTCATGTCTAACACAGGGGCAGCTCAAGCAGAACTTAGAGTCGGTGATTGTGATCATTCCTCTGATGGCTAGACATACGGGCTTGACTGTGGAGGACAAAATAGCCATCGTGTGGGACACGACGACGGCGAGACAGTCTATATCGTAAGTCTTTGTAATCTTTTTTTTTTAATTTAGTAATTAGTTCGTACGTAATTGGAACCGAACTAACACATATTTGTTCATTTGCAGGGGCGATTGTGGAATTTTCACAATCAAATACATCGAATCTTTTTAGTATAGCACATAATGTTGATGAAATTAACCAGTCATGGATACAGAATTGGCGAAATAAGTTAGCATGTGATTTATACAAATTTAATTGTGATCCATAAATTATTTGTAAATACTTTTTGTAATTAATATTTGTAATTATTTGTAACTATTTTTCGTAATTGTTTGTAATTATTCATGTAAATACTGTTTATTTTAATGTAAATACGAGCTGAAATCTAAATATTGATTATGCCGATGTAAATATTGTTTATTTCAATGTAAATACGAGTTGAAATCTGAATATTGACTATGCCAATGTAAATACTATTTATTTCAGATCGACAACAATACACAATGCTCTAACTGTCATTTAGAGGAACCTGACTTGTACAAAATTGACGAGTATGTCCTACTGATTTGCACCTGCTACACCTACGCGGTTAAGAAAACTCTCCAATAGATAGTATTCTAGAAGTACTTGGACGTCCAGGATCACGTGGTTCAATGAGAGGTGCGACAATGTATTGAACGGGCGAATATGATCTGGAACTTCTCATTCGGCTTCGTTTGGAAGCGGAAATATGATTTCAACATACGCAGCTCTCCAGTTTTCAGCAGTATAATAAGGAGAGCACAATGTTCTCGCTGCAAATCCTCGATACATAGCTACTGCAACTGCATGCTCACATGAAAAACTCTCTAACTAAAATTATTTACAAGTGCATGTTCCATAAGTCAAATCTACCATGTATACCGTATTACGTGCACATTTCATAGAGAAGCGCGACTCGTCTAGTTGTTCGACATTTAACTTTCTCGTAGCCTCTTCAACCTTGAAGAGCTTTTCCTCTTGTACCGGGACTAGCACGCTTATGCAATTATGTGATTTCCATTGTCGATCGTGAAACCACTGCTACAACTTCGTACGGATATTCTCAATCAGTGCGAGAATGGGTAACTCTTGATTTCTCTTGAATAATACATTGAGAGACTCCGCGTTGTTTGATGTTATCATGTTGTATTGACGTCCTAGAAAATATGAGCATGCCCAATGCTCAATCCCCATTTTCGTTAGATAGTCCCATGCCGAGAATGATTTGCTTTCTATTTCAATCATGTACCTATTACACTCTTCAATACGATAAGCTTCGATCGCTCTCCTATAATGTGAAATGATGCCTTTGCCCCGATACCTGGTTTTCAAGTTGCCTTGTATATAGTACATGCAATACCCATGATGTGCACATGGAAAAACTTCAGCAATACCATTTATTATAGACTGTCCCCGATCGGTTACAAATGCAAGGTCCTCAACTTTCCCAATTACTTCCCTGAGCTTTGTGAAGAACCAACGCATCGACAGATTATTCTCATTATCAACTATGCCGAATGCAAGACGGTAAATTTGGATGTTGGCATCTTGACATATATCAATAATCAACTTACCTTGGTATTTGGATTTTAGATTTGTACCGTCGACTAGAATTAGGGGTCGCATAGCATTTTGAAATTCCTGAATGCATTGTCCAAGAGGCATAAAGAAGAATTTGAAGCAGTTCTCAGCCTCCATCTCTATAAAAAATGCTGAGTCGTGATTAGTTTTCTCCGTGTTATGGCAATATCTGGCCAATTTAGCATAACTTTCCTCTACCGAGCCCATTAAATCCTCCAACACGCATCCTTTAGCCTTCCAGACCTTCTGGTAGCTCATGACTACTCCGTACTCTCGACGAACATCGTTAATGATGTCCGATGGTGTAGAGATTGTTCGTGGATCCTGATACTTGTGTGTTATCTGTCGACCAATAAATCAAGCTCGGGCTTGCCTATGATCATTGCGACAAACTCCCACGTCACAAGTATGTTCCCGTGTATATTTACAAATTACGAAGCACTCATTCGTGTCCATCTTCATCGCTCACAAACGCCAACTGCAACTATCATCTATGCATGATAGCGTAAACAACGACCTATTCGATTTTTTCACTCTAAACTTGAAGTTGTATTTTAGTGCAATTAGGTGCACAGCTTCTTGCAAATATTTCTTCGTTTCAAACAGTTGCTCGACATACAAATCCTCATTATCGGGAACCATACATGAAGAGTTAGATGATAATCCACTTGATCTAGCCCCCGAGGTCCCACCTCATTCATGTCTCTGTCGGGATAAAGCAATCAACTCCTCGTTCATAAAAGTATTTGCATTTTCATTCTCGTTGTCACGAGCTGCGGAGGGGATTCAGTGTGCAACTGTCTCTGGAATAACCACATCATCTTCACGAGTTATCTCCACTGTATCTTAAAAAGCATTAGCATTTTTAATCTTCACCTCCCGAGTCTACTTGTTCATCTTCGACGACATCCTTCCTTACTAAAGTCACGCAAAGAGGAGTCGTGTGCTTATTGTTCAATTCAATCAGATAATTCACTTCATCAACAGAAGAAATCATTATAGGTGGAATCGGAACTGATGCATGCTCACTGAATTTAAATTTCAATTCCATGTTGTATTGAGAAGGATCAACATTCAACTTGTTCTGTAAATCATTATAGAGTTCTGCATACGATGTACCTGATGATATGAAAATTGCGATACCACCACGTTTAGCACTTGTCCATTTCCATATCCATTGATCTCTTTCGTCCAATTCGAAATTACCAAAGTAACAAACTGGGACTACAACCATATCTGCATGTCGAAACAGAATTATTAATTACAAGAAAAATATCAACAGCAATAAAAATAACCCAAAAAGGGAGAAAAATGAAAACAGTTGACAAACACCTGGTCTAACAGCCAGCTGTTTGACCAACTGTTAAACAGTCTGTTTAACAGCCGATGAAATAGTCGAATCACCGGTACACGTCGGACTGTTAACACTCAACACTCGTCCGGCAAAGTATATGCAAATGAATTTTTTCTGATCAAATGCTTAAAAAATTATAGATTTATTAAAAAAAATTTATCTACATTACCATTAAATGTCGAAATACAATTTATCGATTTAAACGTACAATAATTTAACGAAAACAAGATTAAATTTGCGTATATAAACTTACCGAACTGACGAGATTGATGTCCACAAATTTTTGACTTCTGATTTTGATAATTTTTTTAGTTTCTACAGTTGAAGCAGATGAAAGATGAGAGTATTTTATTTATCTGTGTTGGAGTAAACAGATAAGAAAAGTATGAAGTGTTTGCTTTTTATTTGTTAAGTAAAAGAGTATTGATATCTTTTAAAAAAATCAACTTTTGTAATTGTATAATGTATTTAAGGGTAATTTTGTTTTTTAACATTGGATAGACCATTTTCATAATATCCATTTTTTGAGAAGTCAATGTGAAATTTAGGTGATTTAACCGAGTCAATTTTAAAAGTACCCCGAATAATAATGTGGACTTCACTCATTTCATATCCAATCCAATAAGTGCAATTGTACCCCCACTTAAAATTCCAAGTGAAGAAATTGGGCCACGAGTCATAATGCATTAGTGGTTATGTATACTCTTTACCATATAGCGTTTGATGCAGTTCAAACAACTTTGGAGTTCGTACCAAATTATTGAGGACGTTAATCCTAGAATAAAATAATTAAAAATATTAATGAAGTAAATAATCACGTAAGAAAGTTCCATATGTAATGGCTGATGATATGAATACAACAGTTTTTGATGAAATTACGATGCACATGTTGTAAGTATTGTGCCATAAGTTCAACTGATTTTGGCAGTAAACATTTTTAATAAGATTACTACATTTTATTATGGTAGATCTATTATTTAATTGAATTATTATTCTAATAAATTGAATCAATAGTGTTCGTAAATTAAAAGTCTTGGTACGTTGTTAATCACGAGGAGTTGTGATAAAGAGCAACAAATTACATATGACTAAATCTTAATTATTCACGATCGTAAGTAATAACGGGATATGAATAAACCATCACATGTGACATTTCTCACTTGTGAAATGAGTAGTTAATCTCACAAAGTAAAATATAGTGGCATTTCAATGGATACGTAAACATTTTGTTATAAGAACAAAATATTGGAGACCCTCGTGAGAGATTCTATATTGATAAATATTTGAGTGTTAGTAGTTAATCTATAATATTCAATGATGAAATTGGTTCTTCAACTTTAGGTCATTATAGTGCCTAACATGGGGACAATCATACTTTGAAGATATTTGATGTTGTTTCATCAAGAGTCACTAATACTATATCGTTCCGGTACGTCGAGAATCATATGAAAGTTGTGAATGATCAATAGATGATTCATTACTCTTAGATAGTAAGAGATTATGATCTACATTTCATTCGATTAAATTGAGAATGAAGTTCTTAGTCAAGGTATGCTCATAAGTCAAAAATAGTTTTTTATTTATAATGACTTAAAGAGTATTGGAATGAAAGATATGATCAATTATCAAGATCAACACTCTTTCGTATCTCTTAATTTGATCGGATCGTATTGACAAATGAATTAGAGTTTCATGGTAAATAAAACAAATTTGATGTTTGTTATATCACGTGACATTTTCATAACATGTATTACCCTAACATATTGTTGGATGTTAATCTGCGATGACAAATGTGAATTAATGATAATTAAAATGGTGTTTTAATTTATCGATTTTGATAAAGCCCCCATTTGTTTCTCATTTTTGAAAGAATCAGAATGAAAAATATAGTTGATACGGACCCCATACAAGAGATAGAAATTCAAATTTGGTGATTTGATGTGATGGATAACGGTCATATTTTTCATTTTAATAAGAAAAGAATGGGAACCAAACAGGAACAAAATCAAAATAATAATTCACTTTGTTAGATATCGTGATCGGAACCTAATGGATCCCACATATAAGGAGAACTAGAAGAATTATATTACTAATTAATTAATTGTCATGTATTGGACATTTTTTAAATTAATTAATTCGGTTTCTTATTAATGGGACCAAATTAATTTATGAACCAAAATTTAATTAATTAAATGTTAGATTGGATTCAGTTTAAGGGACTGGTCAAGCGCCCTTGAACTCTATTTATAAGCTGTTAAGGTTTTAAAAATCATAACATACATTCATTATCTTGTTAGTACAGGAAAAGATAAACCATACTCTTTTATTCTTGTTATATTCCATGAATTTATTGGAGGTTAGCCGTTTGGACAGATGTGAATTATAAATCGTAATTGTTCTTCGCATTGACATTGTTTTAAATTCTGCTATGCACGATTGAGTAAATTTCCAAAAACGTATCAACAATTATCGATGACAATGTCATTGTCGATAATGTCAACAACTGCTGACAGTGCTTTCGTCAATAACAAAAGTTGTTGGTATGACCAATGATGATTTTTTATTTTTTTGGATTTTTAATGATTTATAAATTATCGATTATCAACTTTAAATATCTTCTTCTTCTTTTTTTTTTCTTTTTTTTTTTTTGTCTATAAAATTAAAGATCGAGTAAGTGATTATTTCTGGTTGTTATTTATCCTCAACGAATTTTTTCCGTTAGCATTAATTGTTTTTATTTTGATAACTCTATTTAACAACAAAATCTCTTATGTAAATTTAATTAATTAAACTATTTATATTATTGAACTTCTGTAAAGGCTCTGCGAATGTGGGTCTATACACATAGAATTTTAGTTATACTATTAATATTATTAACCGAAAAGCCATTTATAATTTTGATTTTTTAAAATCATTTTATATAATTATTGACATAATTTTTAAAATAATATTTAATTTTCAATTTAATCTAAATTGGTAAAATTAAATTTAGTAAGATTTTCTTTTTAAAGTATCATCGGTAAAAACTACGTTGTTACTCTTAAATTATTATTTTTGTTACACGTGATCTTTTCATTCAATGTTTACTAGGCACCGTTTGATTTAACAAAAATTTTCCCTAGAAAATGGAATTTGGATTCCAACTTCCACAAAAAGGGTGTTTGATAGTTTATATTTACCATGGAATTGAATTTCTTAGATTTCTTAGAAATTGCATTTTTCCTTGTTTTCAAGGAATTTGAATTCTCACCAAATTATAGTCTACTATAGCATTTTTTTTTTTTTGCAATGGAAACTAATTAAAAGAATTATTGTAAAAAAATATTTCCATTTAATTGACAATTTTCATATAAAATAAGGTCAAACGAACACCAAAAGATTGATGATTTTCTTGATTTTTTTTTTGCTTTTTGTTGGGAAGTTGACAATGGAAACAAATTTTATTCCCAATACCAGTAAAATATGTCATTTTAATTGACAATTTTCATGTAAAATAAAGTCAAACGAATACCAAAAAATACTTTTATTTTAACATTTTTCACGTTGAAAATTATACAAATCAAACACAATAATTTACAATTCCCAAAAAAATAATTTTTAGGCAATTCAATTCCCTGAAATTCGTTTTCAAATCAATTCAATTTTATCTTTACAATCAAACGGACTCTTATTGTTTTGATTATTTTATTTAGTAATAGGGTTTCTGTTAATAATTCTTTAGAAGTTGATTTTAATATGAAGATTCAGTGAAATTATTTTGAATAAAACTTATTAAATTGGGATCTTACCTAACGATGGAGACTTAGATGACTACCTAACTTGCCTTGAGGTTAAGTTGACTCTACAATCGATATTTAAAATGGGATTAAACTAATTGTACTCACAAAGTGTACACATTGATTGACATCCCCTTACGAGTAAAAAATATGACAATTGATTGAAAAATGTGTTATCAAAATCAATGTACCAAAATCTGCTAATGCATGATGGTGCAATTCGACGTGTCAATATTTATTTATATGTAGCATGGTCCTTCAAAATGATATTCTATTCAGTGTTAAGATTCCATTTTAAAATGTCGATCGAGTTAAGAAACGTTGCATGAATTTGTATATGTTGATTATTAATTTTACGTAAAAATTGTTGGAATTTACTCTTAACATATTCGTTCAAGAGACGGATTCATTCAAAAACACTAATCTTAAAATTTGACTTACGTTTTGGATTTCGTGTGTGTGTATATATCCTAAGCATCCGGTGAGATATATATATAAGTCTTGGAAGATATCTCGGGTGACAGGTGTTCATTGGTGGTGCCGATGGGAGAAGAAAGAGCTGCAACTAGGGATAGATATGGCATGTGCTTAGGCGAGGCAAAAGTTTCATCATTTACACCCCTTTATTTTAGTAGGCGCCAGCCTTCTCCATCAAATCAACAAGAAAGTGGGGGTTTAAAGAGATCCACTCCATAGCCATGCACCTTAGCCTCTGCTTTCAGTCATTTCTTTCCACTTGCTTGAATTGCTTACTATCTTGGATAGGATAGCCAAGGCTGACTTTGTTCTATCTTTTCTATAAACTAATAAGTTAGTGTGAAGCTTTCCTTTTAAGTAGTCAGCTTTCTTTTTTGTTTTCAAATCTTAGTCTGATCAAGGGTATCTTCTTCCTTGTTTAGGACCTCCAATATAACATGAGGGAAGGGCTAAGGTNTTTTTTTTTTTTTTTTTTTGTCTATAAAATTAAAGATCGAGTAAGTGATTATTTCTGGTTGTTATTTATCCTCAACGAATTTTTTCCGTTAGCATTAATTGTTTTTATTTTGATAACTCTATTTAACAACAAAATCTCTTATGTAAATTTAATTAATTAAACTATTTATATTATTGAACTTCTGTAAAGGCTCTGTGAATGTGGGTCTATACACATAGAATTTTAGTTATACTATTAATATTATTAACCGAAAAGCCATTTATAATTTTGATTTTTTAAAATCATTTTATATAATTATTGACATAATTTTTAAAATAATATTTAATTTTCAATTTAATCTAAATTGGTAAAATTAAATTTAGTAAGATTTTCTTTTTAAAGTATCATCGGTAAAAACTACGTTGTTACTCTTAAATTATTATTTTTGTTACACGTGATCTTTTCATTCAATGTTTACTAGGCACCGTTTGATTTAACAAAAATTTTCCCTAGAAAATGGAATTTGGATTCCAACTTCCACAAAAAGGGTGTTTGATAGTTTATATTTACCATGGAATTGAATTTCTTAGATTTCTTAGAAATTGCATTTTTCCTTGTTTTCAAGGAATTTGAATTCTCACCAAATTATAGTCTACTATAGCATTTTTTTTTTTTTTGCAATGGAAACTAATTAAAAGAATTATTGTAAAAAAATATTTCCATTTAATTGACAATTTTCATATAAAATAAGGTCAAACGAACACCAAAAGATTGATGATTTTCTTGATTTTTTTTTCCTTTTGTTGGGAAGTTGACAATGGAAACAAATTTTATTCCCAATACCAGTAAAATATATCATTTTAATTGACAATTTTCATGTAAAATAAAGTCAAAAGAATACCAAAAAATACTTTTATTTTAACATTTTTCACGTTAAAAATTATACAAATCAAACACAATAATTTACAATTCCCAAAAAAATAATTTTTAGGCAATTCAATTCCCTGAAATTCGTTTTCAAATCAATTCAATTTTATCTTTACAATCAAACGGACCGTTATTGTTTTGATTATTTTATTTAGTAATAGGGTTTCTGTTAATAATTGTTTAGAAGTTGATTTTAATATGAAGATTCAGTGAAATTATTTTGAATAAAACTTATTAAATTGGGATCTTACCTAACGATGGAGTCTTAGATGACTACCTAACTTGCCTTGAGGTTAAGTTGACTCTACAATCGATATTTAAAATGGGATTAAACTAATTGTACTCACAAAGTGTACACATTGATTGACATCCCCTTACGAGTAAAAAATATGACAATTGATTGAAAAATGTGTTATCAAAATCAATGTACCAAAATCTGCTAATGCATGATGGTGCAATTCGACGTGTCAATATTTATTTATATGTAGCATGGTCCTTCAAAATGATATTCTATTCAGTGTTAAGATTCCATTTTAAAATGTCGATCGAGTTAAGAAACGTTGCATGAATTTGTATATGTTGATTATTAATTTTACGTAAAAATTGTTGGAATTTACTCTTAACATATTCGTTCAAGAGACGGATTCATTCAAAAACACTAATCTTAAAATTTGACTTACGTTTTGGATTTCGTGTGTGTGTATATATCCTAAGCATCCGGTGAGATATATATATAAGTCTTGGAAGATATCTCGGGTGACAGGTGTTCATTGGTGGTGCCGATGGGAGAAGAAAGAGCTGCAACTAGGGATAGATATGGCATGTGCTTAGGCGAGGCAAAAGTTTCATCATTTACACCCCTTTATTTTAGTAGGCGCCAGTCTTCTCCATCAAATCAACAAGAAAGTGGGGGTTTAAAGAGATCCACTCCCTAGCCATGCACCTTAGCCTCTGCTTTCAGTCATTTCTTTCCACTTGCTTGAACTGCTTACTATCTTGGATAGGATAGCCAAGGCTGCCTTTGTTCTATCTTTTCTATAAACTAATAAGTTAGTGTGAAGCTTTCCTTTTAAGTAGTCAGCTTTCTTCTTTGTTTTCAAATCTTAGTCTGATCAAGGGTATCTTCTTCCTTGTTTAGGACCTCCAATATAACATGAGGGAAGGGCTAAGGTTGGTTGTTCAAACCACCCTTAGAAGAAAGAGTTACTAATCTCAATACGATGAGGTATATGCCACCTTCTTAGTTCTAGATTCTGCGTACGATTAAAAAAAATGAAGATAAACGTAACTTTAAAAAATCAAAACCAAATAAGATCTAAATACCAAAAAAAAAATTAATGCTACTCAAATAGGGATTGCAAACAGGGACAGACATCACTATGTGGTTAAATTTTTTTTTTTTTTTTTCAAATTGTTTAATAATGCTGTGCCACATGTCATCCTATTTTTAATTCCTTTCATTGAGTCTATTTGTGTAGCATGATTGATACCGAAACCCCTAATAATCTTGATTCAGATTTCGTGACAAGAAACACAATTCCTATTCTCAGTGCTTACATCAGACACGATACGCCGTTACGAAACGTCAAAGAGAAATAACGGATGAAAGTTGTAGAAGTAGGAGGGTGACGTATGGATTGGAGCCACCAGACAAAACGGAATATTCGTGTTCCGTCAGAAAATTCCGTTCATATCCACATTCAAGACACGTCACCCTCTTTGTATTAAAGCTCCAATGTATAAATACCAATTTAGTTCACGTAAAAATATAATATTAAATGATTATACGAATTGCAGAGGAGAAAGTGGAGAGAAGAAAGTTCATAAGAGAAAGCGGGAATCTTAAAACTTTTCGATTTCTTAAATTTTATTTGAGAAATTGAGCAATGGAGAACAACGAGGAGAGGAAGCAGAACGAAGTTGTTGCAATTGAGCTTCCGGCTCCTCCTGGCTGGATTAAGAAGGTGTAGTTATCCTTCTTGTTATTAATTCATGCTCGAATTTTTGTGATGTAATTTTATTTTAATTTTATGAGTCTCTTGTTAATTTGAAGTTATATGTGCATGCTGATGTTCATTGAAAAGAGTATGAGATTATTGATTTAGGCTTTAGCTATGAAATGCATTTATGGAAATTCCGATTTGTGATTGACTCGAAAATTGTTTGTGAAATCTTGCTGATTTGGTCATAATTGTTGTCTTAAGCTGTAATGCCACTGACTTTGTACAAGAATTGTGAGAATTGAAAGTGTATTTAATAATTAAGATTGGACTAGGGTTTCTGCTTCTGGAATCTTAAGAGCCGCGAGGTCTTCCTAATTTTCTCTGAAAATTTGAGAATGGAGAAAACGATGAGAATAAGCAGAATGAAATTGTTGCAATTGAGCTTCTGGCTTCTCCTGGCTGGATTAGGAAAGTGTTGGTTCTCCTTAAATTTTATACCCTCATTTTGTGCCCCAAGTTTATTTTAATTTTATGAGTATTGGGTTTGTTGGCATTTAATGAATATTGGTTGAATTTCTTTGAGAAGAGCCCCACACTGTTGATATAACATTTATTTTATTTTTTTTTATATATGACCGTGAGTGTCTGGATCAGCTTACGCGCACCTTAGCTAATCCTACAAGACCCTAAAGTTTACAGCCAATTACTCACCTCAGTGGCCCAAGGGACTCGAATTGATGACCATTGGGGAGCAAACCTAAGACCTAATATAACTGTGGTCTAAGAATGCATTTATTGAATTTGTGATTGATTGATGGTTGTTTGTGTAATGTACTGATGTTGCATTAGACCTTTGATTGAAGGTAGATTTAATAGTTGAGAGTGGTCAAAGGTTTCTACTTCTGAAATTTAGAATTGCGGAAATGAATTTTTTTTTTTTTTTTACTTCTCGAACTTTTCATTTCAGGTAAGAAATTTTGAAGATATTTTTCTAATTGAAGGAGATCATTAAATGTTATTAGTTTTGTAAATTGAATTTTGGGCAATATTTGCAATCCACTTGTCAACAGTGAAGGGCCTGAAGGTTTTGTCAGTTTTATGTTTTCTCTATTCCTGCATTATTTCCATCTTTGTTTGGTTACTTTTTTTTCCTCCATTTTCCTGCATCTTTCCGTCTTTGTTTCCTATATTTGTTGTTGGAAAATGGCAAAAAGAAACAGGACAACTCATATAACCACCAAAATCTTAAAATAAAGATGGAAAGATGCAGGAAAATGCAAAAAGAAACACGATAAAACATAAAACTGCCAAACTTTAAAACAAAGATGTAAAGATGCAGCTAAACAGTAAAAAGGCACAGGGACAAACATAAAATCGCCAAACCTTCAGATCCCTCACTGATGGAATATATTGCCCAACAATCGATTAACAAAATTGCGAATAACTAATGTATCTCCTTCAATTCGAAAAATAGAGTTCAAGAAATAAAGAAAATGTCTGCCAATTATGCTTGCTTCCCTTTTTATTTTTTAATTTTTTATTTTTTTATACAATGCTGCTTTTTATCTTCTTTTCCTATATTTTGGATTTGAAAAAATTATTATTTTCCATATCAGATAGAACTAAGGATAAAAGAGGTGGAGGGTACAGTAAGCCGTCAAATGTGTCTATTAAACCAGATTACATGTGCATCTGTGTAATCAAGATGCAGTGGAAGCACCAAGCTAAAGCCTGGTAATATGAGGTCTTAGTTAAGTTTCCCGTGCGTGTCCAATCATATATGAATTTTTGCCCCAGTATAAATGGGTTTCTTGTTGTAGCTCCTCCTCCCTAACCCCAACTTGTGTGGGTAGCATGTATTACATATTCTGTGATTATCAACTTTCTATGAAGTCATAATATATGATTAATCAATAAATATTCTGCATCTCTCATGTCTCAAACATGCACAATTACTTTTTGACTCTCTTTTTCCCTATTTCACTGCAGGAAGAGATCATTTACGTATTTCCAATTTTATTTTAGTTAGATCTTATGATGGTCCCCAATCTTTGCTTGCAATTATGTATGGTTTGAAAAAAATTTCACATCGTTATTATCCCCTTTCATGCTAATTTTTTAAATTCTGCACAAATTCCTTACTTGCACTAGTTTTCCGTGCTTCCATAATTTGGCACATATTAAGAGTTGTGTTTCCTGTGGTAATTTAGTAATATAACTATTAGTACGGAACAATTACATGGACATGGACATGGCGACACGCGATTTTCTAAAAAGTAGGACGCGGACACGTTAAATTGTATTCTTTAAAATCTTTATATTATATATTTATTTTTTTATATTTTATAATATAAGAGATGGCTCATGCCATGTCAAACACTTGCCCGAAGAATGTCCCCTAAAGTAACCGTCTAGCATTAGAAACTTAAAAAATAGGACAGTCTATGTGGCTTGTCGAATCCATGTTGTGGAGTATTCGAAAAGTGTCTATGCCCGACACAACACGATACATGTCGGAAGTGGACACACGGCCCTTGTAGGAGTGTCCATGCTTTATAGCCTGAATGTTGTTGCTTTATTTTTTATTTCTATACAAGGGTCCAACTCTAAATAAGTTATCTGAATGATATACTTGAGCAGATTTTGTGTATGAAGAGTCGAAACCTTTGCTATCATCACTTTTGACAGCACTTTACGTGGAATGCTTTGACTGGCAGTTGGAAGTCTAAGTGGCTATCGCCCTTCAGTTGAAGCATTTCTAATGGTCAGTTTAAACACCTGATGATCGTTTCAACTATGGATTTGCTTTTGACAAAATATAATTGTGCTTCTCTCAAGGCTCTAGCATCAGGGCTGTTGTGGGGTTCTACTTATATAACGTTTTTTATTTTTTAGCTGGGTTGCTCATCTTCATATTAATCTTTTCTTTTTTCCTTTTTTAATTTGGAAGTTGGAACACAATATTTTGGCATTCATCAAGTTTTCTGAATGGTGATGTTATACAGAAAGAAATTCAATGATTGAATATTTGTTGTGCACATAGCAAAAGATACTTCTTAAGTTGATAAAGTTATTGTTAATCAGTAGTACTCGTCTAGCTTCATTTTGTTATTTCGATCTTCCATAGTTACACTGATTTTTGTATCCGCTGCAGTTTAAAAAATTCTTCCTTGTTGACCAACATTTGTGAGTCTATTGTTTAAGAGAAAATTGATTTGTTAAGCCTGGAATCAACTTTTAAAAGAATTTTGTTTATGTCATTTTTGTTGTAGCAATCTTGCATCAATGAGGCATCTTTCTTGTGAAGTTTTACATTTTGGCGATTCTTGTTTTTGGATAGAATCCAACTGTATTCTGATAAGGTGCTATTTCCCATTCAAATCCACTTCCAGAGTGGTCTACAACTAAGCTATCTACAAAGCCTCTTATCCTGCCAAGAAGTTGTGCCCATGTCAGGAGTATTTTTTTTGAATTTTTAGTCTTTGCTTTGTTTCAGGAGCTGTTAAGATTTTAATATGAGGATTTGTTTTGTTAGTACAGAGATTGTGGCCTGTGGTCATTGGTCTATGTTTGGCTTCAGAGTTTTAGTGATTTGAATTGTACTACAATCCACTGATCAATGAAAAGAGTGGATAACTGTTTCTTGTTTTACAAACTTTACATTTCATTTGGGAGAAACAACCCTCGAAGTTCCAAAAATTTCTTTCTAGTTGTTCCATTTCACGCCATACAATCTTTAGAGGTTGTAGTGTGGCATATAGCTCTTTAGTCATGACGGATGTAATGATTATTTATGAGAATGCCCTATTTATAGGTCTGTATTGTTGTGTATATGCAAAATATGTATGCAAATGAGAATTGGAATGTTGCTGACCTGCTCAAATTAGGCGCATTAGTGGTAGGTTGATCTAAATCTTACCTCTTATACACTAATATAGAAGAAATATTTTGAATAAATTCATTTGTATAGATGTTTCATCTCTGAAACTCTGGGATGGATAGCATTTCCCCCTCGAGGTGCCTCCGTTGCAGTGCCTTGGGAAATGGTGAATTGAAAGGTGTAAAGAAATCCTATTTCCAGTCTGCCTTTCTTTGTTAAGTTAGTATAACCCTAATTATTACTTTTATACAAGTGCTCTTATCACCTAGGATTCTTGGTAAAGAATGTAGTTCCAAATAAAAGAAAATAGTTGTGCTTAGAACTTTGAATGTATTTTATGTAAAATTATATATATACATATATTATTCTAAGTTCTTTACGGATTTCTATTTTCTTTGAGAATAAATTCCTTAGTTTTTTGTATTTTTTCTTTAGTGAGTTAGGTGATGGTTGGTATCAAGGGCAATTCGGCAAATTAGTATTTTATTATAAAAGTTAAAATTGACATTTTATTGAAAATGAAGGTCGAAAGTGGTATTAGAAAACTTCCATTTCAGAGGTGCATTTAGGAGCTTATGGGTTTCTTTACTAGTACGGTCAACTCGTGTTTTTCTTAGTTTACAGTCATTATTACTCGTTAACAAATAATAAGTATCAAATTTCGGATTTGGAATTAGAGTTTTTCCATTTGTACAGAGGAGGGGTCACATGGGTGGAACCCATGTGAGTAAAAATATTGAAAAAAAATAACCACAACCCCCACACCAAATATGTGTCTTCTGGAGGGGTTCTGTCAACCTCTCCTCTGTACACATAGCTTACTTCTTGGACTTGTACTAAATTTAAGTTTCTGTTGATTGTATATAAAGCACTGCAATGCTTCTAATATGATTGGGGAGAAGTAACACAGATCTACAACAAATGAGCTTTCTCTTAGACTTGTGTGATACAATTCAAATATGTAGGGGTGATGCATGCGGAATTTAAATACTTTCTCCTTCAGAATATATATGGTTGATAGTAGTTTCGTGTACAATTCCATTCAACTAAAGGTATAAAATTTGCTCCTGTTTGAAGATTTTGCAGTAAATGGAGCATTTATTATGTTCTAGTCTTTCTTGGCTGTTAGTTTATGCTGCGTGTCATTCATCAGAAGTTTGTGGAAAGATGTTAAATCCATTAAGAATACATTGGGTTTGGTGAGAAATTTCTTTTTAAAGTGACCCATTTTATGATGGAGCGTTTGGATGAAAGTAGTTGATATCTAGATCCAAGTGAAACTGGACTTGCACGAACTGAGGTTTTCAAACTTGCTGTTTTTGCATTTTTCTTATCCGAACTTGCCGTGCTTTACTTAAAGTACACCAGTATGTTTATAGGGTTGCAAAATGATTATCGGGATCTGTTATGGCGAAGAAGATCTATAATCTTCTTGTACTATTTTCTATAATTTTTTGTTTGATTGACATTTAGGGATTAATTTTTCTACGCTAATCAAAGAATTTGTGTTTTGTTTGGAATTACATGCTATCCACGTTTTGTCCAAAATAATTACTTTCATAAAATCTCTAGTTCATTCCGAAGAAAGGTGGTACACCTAGGAGGAATGATATAGTATTCACCGCCCCCACAGGAGAAGAGATCAAGAATAAGAGACAGTTGGATCAGTACCTTAAATCTCATCCAGAAGGACCTTCAGCTGCTGAGTTTGATTGGGGTACAGGTAGTCTCTCTCTCTCTCTCCCCGTGTGTGTGTGTATGAAACATGAGTGTGCGGTGTGAGCATTCTAAAACAGATAAGCTATCTGATGCTGTTAAGATTTCAGGAACAAAAATTGAGTCTCAATTGTATGCCATTAGACAGTTGAGAATATGCATGTGATAAGCAAAGTAAAAATGACGTGGTCTGCTATTGACTTATGCAGGTGACACCCCAAGGCGTTCTTCAAGGTTAAGCGAGAAATCAAAAATGCAGGAGGTACCAGAAATTGAAACTCCCAAAAAGAAACAAAAGAAAGTCAGTGAAAAGAAGGAAGCAGAGGAGAAAGATGATGCTGATGGAGTGGAGGGTAATGATGACAAGGATGCTGCTGCTGAAGAAACTAAAGTAGGGCCTGAAGTATCTATGGCTGATGCAGAAAATGCTGGGGATGATGATGGTGGAGAGTTTACTACTGACAGTGCTCTCCCTGACAAGCATAATACTGAAGATGAGGAACCTCCTGCAGCTGATGATGTGATTGATGCAATCACCGAAAAGGTGGATGCTAAAGTTGAGGAATTCAAGGATGCAACTCCTGAGGTGGCAGGTTTGAAGGTTGAGGAATCAAAGAATGCAACTGCTGAGGTGGAAAGTGCAAAGGTTGAGGAACTCAAGGATACAACAGCAGACGTGGCTGGTGCAAAGGTTGAGAAGTCTAAGGATTGGACTAATGAAATAGCAGACATGAAGATTGACGAATTAAAGGGTGAGGACCATGCTGAAAAAGAGCTTTTGGACGGGAAGGTCAATGGTGCAGAAGCATCTGCAGCAGGTAATGATGAGTCAAAGGATAATCAAGAAAAAGAAAATATCCCCTGAATGACCCGATCTTTGAACTAGGAACAGGAAGTAATAACAGCATCTCAAGTTTCTAAACTTTTTGAAAGTTTCGCGTTGTATTCTCACCGGTGCATTTATCTTTCAGATATGGTTCTAACCAGCAATTGTAGATCTGTTCTGCAAATTACTGTTAGGAATCCTTGGAGTAATTGATTGGTGTTGATATTAACAGTGTCCACATCATCAATTTAGTTGAAGCTCTGTAGTTTCTTGATATTCAATAGACATTTGTAGTCTAAATCTGTACTTCATCTATGCATCTTATGTGGATTTGAATATACTGAGCAGATGGTGGTTAATGGATCTAAAACTTTTAGTTGCATTTACCAACTGCATTCTATATTAGCTTCCATCAAAATGCATTTATCATTCCCTTTTTTCCCCTTCTCTCCTCAGCAGCAAAAGTGTTCAGCGATTTTATGGCTTCTTCTGTGATGTAGTGTACAGCAGTAGATGGTATTGATTATGGAACAGAAATGAGACATTACCTATTGTACCGTTTGGTTTTATATCACACCAGCAGTAAGTTGTTTGTATTTTGCATTCAACTATTTGCCTTTGCTCGATGAATTCTTTTGAGGAGAATAGGGAGAAATGATTGATGTATTTAAGGAGTGCTTGAGCAAAAGGGAGAGGTTAAGTGTTGTTCAAGTCAGTGGCTCCAAGTTCCTTACAGATGAGAATTAACTAGTTCTTTCAATGCCTTCAAACTGAATAAACACCTTGTCAGACATTTTGAAAAGGATTAAAATAACTTCTCATCCCATGAAAGAAGACTGTTTAAAAACTGACATCAATTCTCACTATGCATATTGTAAAGGGGCCTTTAGAAAGAATTCACGTTAAGAGGAATCTCCAGTGATGGGAATTTTACCTAAAAATTGCTCCCTCGACTCAAGTCCATATTAATATTCTCGTCTACTTGACATCTTTGTACAAACCAAATCAGGCATCGATGGTTCCTCACTAAACTCAGCTAGCATGAACATATAAAGAAATAGACTGGCCGAGTCATACAAGTCAAAGCCGAGTCATACGAGTCAAAGGACCTTACCATGGATAAGCAACCAGGCTGCAGATAAAGTCCTAGTCTCACTACAACAAGAACAATAGCTCAATAGTGACAAACAAAGCACTGAATTCTTGCTGCAAAAATCAGATTTGTTCCCAAAAGATCAACTCACGATACGTAACCTGGACTACAGTCTCATAAAGTAGCAGCAGTTAGTATTAAGTTTCAAAATATAAAGCGTTATTATGCCCTCCTTGGGCTTGGCGCAAACAAACACTAGTTTTGACTAAATCTGATCAGCATTGTGTAATGATAATAAGTCACTCTCAGCCATCATCACTGCTGTGCACATTGCACCCTCTGTGCCCCACCATGCATCTCTTCGTCCTCCTCATCATAGGCCTCTTGACGCTGAGCTTGCTTCCTTCGCATCTCCTCCTCCATGTTAACATCTTGCAATGTCGTCTCCTCGCACTCCTCCAGCTCCATGTCTGACAGTTGCAGAGATGGCTTTGGAGGTAGGACTGCCTCCAAGGCTTTGACTTGCTCTGGAGTTAGAGATTCAGGGAAATCCACTTTGAAATGAATGTAGAGTTTACCCTTCATGAATGGCCTCCCATGCATCGGCATCCCTTCATCATTGATGGCCTTAGTCGAATCTGCAAGTTTTGGCAAGCAAAGGCACCATATTCTTCAATAAAATATAAAATATAAAGGCGTGTTTCCTAAGGTAGTAACAGCTAGTATTAGAGATGTTGAACCACTTCATCTCAAAGCTTTAACTTAGAGAGGAACAAACTTTATCACGTGCAGGCAGCTTCTTTTTTTCATCAAATGCCCGACACGTGCACAATTTTCAAATGTGTGGCGGCGGGACTTCAACTCAAAGTACATGTCTGCTCTCATAGTTCACCACCACATCGAAAAGCTCAGACTTTTAGAGGGAACAAACTTATTGATTTAATTTATTTCTTCTATAGAATAGAAAAAATAAGTTAAAATCTTGTTCATGGTATTATCCAGTATGATCTAGTATTACATATCAAACATGCCCAAAGAATAAAATTCCAGAAAATCACGAACCAGGTTTCACGACTTCTCCAGGTTGTGATTTGATAAGAAGATGCCGATCATCCAAGTGAGACAGTATAAATTGGAAGCCGCACAAAGCTTCAGTAAGACCCAGTGAGTGCTCCACAAAAAGATCATCGCCTTTCCTCTTAAATTTAGGATGTTCCCTCTGTTGGAGTACAACAACTACATCTCCAGTGATTGTGTCGGGCTGAAATGAAACACAAACAAGTTCACCTTTTACGATGTTGGAAATTTTTAAAAAATACTACAAATGATACATGAGGTCAAGTCATGTACTGCTTCATCAGCTTCTCCATGGAATGTAATCTGCTGTCCATTCTGCATTCCCTTCTCCACATGGACTTCCAAAACTTTCTTCTCCAGCACAACCTTTTCACCTTTGCACTGAGAGCAGCGATCTTTATCATTAATAGTCTCTCCTGTTCCCTTGCATTCGTTGCAAGGATGCTGCAACTGCTGGAGCATACCTGGGCCAAGTTGCCTAACAGTTACCTTCATACCAGTTCCTTGACATCCAGAGCACTTCATAGAAGCTCCAGATTTTGATCCTTTGCTGTCATTGAAGAAAAAACAATAGAAGCACATTAGCTCATGACCCAAACACAGGCATGTCAAGTACAATCTGAAACAGTAGAATGAACAATTAAATTTACCCATTACACTTTGAGCAGAGGACATTGCGGGATAAGGGGATCTTTTTAGTGGTCCCAAGGTATAGGTCCTCAAGAGAGACCTTTAATGGATGTGCTGCATCCTCTCCCCTCCTCTGCCTTCGTCCCCTACTGCTACCACCACCTGGTCACAAGCATACTACTCAGACAAAATGCGTTCTCCATTTAAAGAGGAACTTGAAGGCTAATCAAAACCAACAAGTGAAAGTTTGATAGAGTGGATTGGATAGCATAGGATAGTATTAAAAAGAAGAAAAAAAAAAAGTCAAATATACTTCGTTGTCATTTACTAAACATGCCACAAAAGTATAACAAACATCATGATATTTTCTAAAGCAGAAACAACTCACCTCCAAATGGACTTCCACCAAAGAAGGATTGGAAGATGTCAAATGGGTCATGCATGCCACTGCCGCCACCCATCCCTTCCTTGAGTGCATCTTCACCATATTGATCGTAGATCTCGCGTTTTTCAGGATCACTCAGAACCTCATAAGCATGCGCAAGCTCCTTAAACTGCAAATAAGCAATGTCTTTAGATACAAGTCTATGGGAATTAAAATCATATGTCATAGTGGATAAAATGATAAAAAAGACCAATGTTTTGAAAATTGGACCAGGTATTGACCTAATAAGAGAAAGGGTCAAAGGGATGGACCGGCCGAGATCAAACCAGTAATAGAAAAAAATTATATGAATCTACATGCACTAAGTATCGAGCATCAAGTCAACTCTATCATCTCCTTTTTGGTCTTAGCTTCATTCTCCATCTACCATTGATCATCTATTTCTCTTAATTCTTATTCATCCTTTCCTTGAGCATGTTTGGCTAAGCTTAAAAAGCTTACCCATTAAGTAAATAAGTTTTAATATGAACAAGAAATTTAGTCAGTGGCAAATATGCAACTACTTATTTTGACAGCAACCTAAAATTACCTCCAAACTAAGTAAGTTATCTAATTTAAGAGTAAGAAAATGTAAGGTTTGCAGAATACAGACATGTTTGGAAACAAAAATATAATTTTACTTCTTTTCAAGCAGGCAAACAAGCTTCGTTTGAGCTTTTTCGATCTTCAGAGAACTTCTTTAATTAATTTAACCACTTAGAGAACCACCGTTTTCAATAAAGAAAATCAAAAACTCAAACTCCAAAATCAATTCATTGAGATCCCTCACCTATCCACAACTTACACATGCACACTACAATCATACGATTTTCCACCACAGAAATCGGAGTAAAACCGAGTAAAACAAACAAAAATCCAGAAATTCAACAATTCACCAAAAAAATTACTTAGTAAAACAACAATAATTAAAATTTAAAAAGAAAAAATAAAAACTTCAAAATGGAACCTTTTCAGGGTCACCCCCCTTATCAGGATGATTCTTGATAGCAGCTTTCTTGTAAGCCTTCTTTAAATCATCCTGTGACGCAGTGTTGGGCACCCCAAGAATTTCATAGTACTTGGTATTATCACTTTTTTTCGGAGCCCTCCCAAACATTCTGAATCAAATTAGTAGAATCACAAGCCCAGATCAAAATGTGTAAAATTAATAGATCGATCAAGAACTATATTGGTTATATGGGTTTAGTAAGAATCACATAAAAAATGGGATACGAAGGGAGAACTCAAGCAAGACTCCAATGAATATGCCGCATGCTGCAGAGATGTACATGTATCTGGGTTTAACGGCTGAGATTGAGTCTAGGGTGGAGAAAGATTTCAACCGTTCGATGTTAGGAATAAATTCTTTTCTTTCTCTTGGGGGAAGATCGTTGATTAGAAGTGGACGGGTGTGATTTAAAGATCCATATATTCCCTGAGAAGATTATAATAATCACACAGGTTGCCCCTAAAGTTTGTGTACAATTACATTTGAACCCCAAGTGATTTCTGAAATACAGAGACCCTCTCATCTTTTCATATGGACTTTCAAAACTTGTATGAGTAACATATTTACTTGGATGCATTTGATTCTAAAAATGTATTTTTTACATTCAAATTTCTACTTTTTGTGCTGTTTGATTGACATTTTTTTATGAAATATATTTTCCTACTTTTCTTTGAGAGAGTGGAATTTTACTTTCTAGAGAATTCACTCTCTCATTTACTTACTTTCTCTCATCCAGTCACCAATAAAAAATGAATAAGTATAATACTTTTTAGATTAAAAATTAAATCGATTAAACATATTTAATTGATAATTTTCATACAAATAAATTATAGGCATTTGAATTGTCTAAAATTTATTTTTCTTCCATGCAAAATTCATACTTGCAATCAAACGCACCATATGTGTCAACCTACCATGACTTTCCTTATTTGCTCAAACTTATGACCAATTATATATTAAAAAAAGAAAAAAACATGGGCAAATTTACTTGTTTGGCTAATACTTCGAGGAAATTTTCATCAACGAATCATAGTTACGAGGGACCTTCTTTATAAGCCCAAACAATAGAACATCTGGTACATTTTAATATGCTGAAATGAAAATTTCTATAGTTTTCGATAGAGAATTTACTACTGTGTGACAGTAAGAGCCCAAGTTTGAAAATAGGAACATCCATATTGGTACGTGTCGTGCAATAATTATAGGGAAAAATTTATAAATAAGATGTTAAGTATCACCAATTTTAAAATTAAGAACAAAGGTTTCAAATTTCAAAAATCAGATATTTACTAAGAGCCTGTTTGAGCCACATTATAATGAGAATGAGAATGAGAAATAGAGTTGTTATGGGCTCCATACCAGAGATAGAAATTCAAAAATGATGGCTTAATGTGATGGATAACGGTCATATTTTTCATTTTAATGAAGTAAAAATGTGGCTCAAACAGGGGCTAAATTTCAATTATGATTTATTCTATATAATTTGGTCAAAAATTAATGATTTAGTTAATCACATATTTTTTTTCGATCACAAATTAGAATTTTTATATGTCACAAATTATTTTACTATCACAATTCAAAATTTTTTACAGGTCACAATTTGTTCATCGATCACAAATCCAAAATTTATTAGTCATAATTTATTTATTAATCACAAATAATAATATGTCACAACTTATTATACAATTACAAATTATCAAATTATTGGTCACAAATTAACAACTTTTTAAGTTATACATTATTTTTTTGTCACAATTTTATCTTTTTCTTTGATTACATATTGTTTAATGGTCACAGATTAACCAATTTAATAGTCATAGTCAACAAAATAATTTGTGACCACCACCAATACTTGCTACCACCATCTCATCACTGTCTCTAGCAATAGCACCACCACCACTGTCGTCACTAGAACCACCACCTCCACCTCCTGACGACAACATTACCACCTCAAACAAATCAACCTATCATAGAAAACAATACCACATCATCGCACCAAATCTCCTTCCACGAAAAAAATTTATTACAAATGACCACAAGTCAGGACCCAAATTTCCTTGATCTCCCATCATCCATCACCACCAGCACCACCTAGATTGTGACCACCACCGTCAATGCCAACATTGTTTGTGACAAATCAATATCTACCCCCTTTATCGCTAGATTCGCTAACAAAAATCACATCAAAATCCCAACACCAAAACATAGAAAATTGCCACCACCCAATAACCCACAACACTGTAATCTCCACATCTCCAACCATACCATCACCATTGCCACCGTCGTCGCCACCATCGCCACCATCGTTGTAGCCTATCCACAACTATAGCCATCGCCGCCACCATCTCAATATCACAACCCACCAAAATATCTTCAAACCGTCGCTACACCATCTCACCATCATAGCCTACCTCCTCTATCTTAATCTCACAACACCATCCCCACCAAAAATCCCCAACCCTTTATGGCCACTACATGCAACGCTGCTGGCAGCAAAGCAGTGGCAGCTCTCCTTCACGCCAACAATCAACACAAACAAGCGATTTTGCTACACGCGACGAAGCTGCCACTGTGCACTACGGGTACACATCAGCTCGACGTTACCTCGTATATGGATTGGCGGTGGCTGTACGACCTCTACTCATGACACTATTAGCAGTGAAGTAGCCACAGCCCGCCACTCTCTAGTGATGTCGTCGAATAAAAGAGATAGAGTAAGACGAGAGAATATGGAGAGATGGAGAAGGGAGTGAAATGAATTTTAGGTTTTGGAAAGAAATTGGGGTTGGTGGGTGGTAATGAAATATTTTAATTTTATAATATTCTTATTAATATTTAAAATTTTAATTATTAGCTGATTTTTTAAAGAAAACTTGTTATTCTTAATTATGAATTGAGATCTTTAAAACACTTAGTACATGTAATTACCACATAACTATAATAAAATGTGAGCCTTGACCTCAATAAAATGTAGGAGTATGTTTTATGAAAGTGCAAATAGGTACAGAGTACTCGTAAGTATTGAGTACATGTTATTAAAAGAAATAAATAATGTACTTTCTTATGATAATATAGAGCCAGAGCTTATTTACAGTTGAAAGACTCCATTGGCCTCCTGTAAATAGTGTGGTGCAATGCTTGATACATGTGACTGCATTTGACTTCTTCCTTGGACATCTGTATTAACAGTTCATATCTTCAATCAATGAATTAGTAGTGAATGAATTTAACATGGTTTATACAAATCTCATTACATTTGATGTTAGAACATAGACAATTATGTTGTGCTAACTCACATGCAACCTACGTGCAATGCACGTGCTCCAACTAGTAAACAAATTAAGGGACATTTAGAAAAAATTACAGTTGCACGAACTCCATATCCCAGAAGCATGACAAAATGAACTTAACCCAGAAAATTATCTTTCTTATTGTCATTTTACTCTTTTCTTCGTCCACAATTTTCAGCAAAATCGACTCCGAGAACGTTGACGAGAACCTTAAGAAACCAGAAAAAGTAGTGGAGATGGCTAAAGTTCATTATTTATTTAACCATAGTTCTGATTGTATCTCAATGAAAAATATTGTTTGGATTTTGAGATCAGTTTTTATGTATGAATAATTATAGTCTTACTATTTTGGATGTTCTTCAGAGTCTTCGATCCATTCAATTCGAATTAGTCCTTTTTCCCATGCAATTCTTATCAGTCACATTTAAAAAATAATAATAAAAACAAAAAAACAAAAAATAAAAACCATGAAGTTCTAGGTTACAAACTATATAAAAACTATGAACATGAAGAAATTCCTAGATGAAAATTAATGGGGAATTCTGTGATATAATCACATTTGAATATATCATCCATCACTAACTCTCACAAAATTCTCTAACTAAATATTTTAATAGCATTCACCCTTTGTAAAATTGTTACAAATTCTTTTTTTTTTTTTTTTTTTTTTTTTTTTTTAATTTTTCTAGAAATAGATTATGGATGGGAATCAATCCACCCAACTAGTGATGAGAAAAACCTTCTTATATGTATATAAGCTATTATACCAATTTATTGTAGGAAAAAAATAATATTTATTTAGATCTAGTTCTATTTAAATTGTATTCAAATTTCTTGAGTATTCTAAAGTTCGACAGCAACGTTCAATTTAAATTTTCGGGTAAATAGGGTTTCCAACCTTTTAAAAAGGTGTTAGTGGACCCTAACTTTTTATTTTTGCATACGAAGATCCAAACCTTTAAACTAATAATATGCAGTATCAAGTCCTTGTAATGATCTCTTTCCAAAAAAATTGTTACTTGATCTAAAATTAGGATTGTACCTTCATTTGACCACTAATCATATTTAATTAATTAAAATAATTTAAAAGAAAAGAAAAGAAATAGACTATCTTCCCCACCCCAACCCACCCCTAGCACCATTCCTTCCTACCTCAACAAAGTTATTCACTTGTTTTTTTTTCAGTTGTTATAAATGATTAAATAAGAAGAGATCGATTTGCCCTTCATATTAATGGTCAAATCAAGGTTCAAATTTAAAATTTTTTGATCAACTAACAAGTTTTTGAACAGAATTCGTTAAAGGACTTTAATGGGACTTTGAATGCAAAGATGAGAAGCTTGAGACACATGGCACTTTTCGAAGGGTTTGAGATTTATGCTACACAAAATTCAACCACGTTGTTAATAATATATGAATCACAATGATAACACAAGTTTAGACAAATTAAAGGTATAATTTTCTTCCAATTCCATAAGCACTTCGATGAAATCAAACCTATACACGTTTTATGTGCAAATTATTTGGTGAACGATTTTAGTTGAAGATGGGGCAAATTTCAGAGAACCACTTGAGACACATTGCACTTTTCAAAGGGTAACCGCGTTGTTAATTATTTATGAATCATAATAATAACACGAGTTTAGACAAATTAAAGGTATACTTTTCTTCCAATTCCAAAAGCACTTCGATGAAATCAAACCTAAACGCATTTTGTGTGCAAATTCTTTCGTGAACAATTTTAGTTGAAATTGGGGCAAATTTTAGAGAACCACACATGGCACTTTCCAAAGGGTTTGAGATTTATGCTACACAAAGTTCAACCATGTTGTTAATTATATACGAATCATAATGATACCACGAGTTTAGACAAATTAAAGGTATGTTTTTTCTTCCAATTCCAAATGCACTTTCATGAAATCAGACCTAAACCAATTTTATGTGCAAATTCTTTGTGGGAATAGTGGCAATG